TAGTACTTTTTGTTTTTTTATCAACCAAGGGGGGTTACAGAAACCAAATAACCCCCCCTGGGTACGGCCCTGCTTGCTGAAATTTGGAGGTGAAAATGGAGGTCATAACCGCGGCACCTACCTACCAGTACCATACAATATATAATATCAAGAGTACATAATAGGAGTAGTCTATACCCTTCAGTCTATAGTCTATAGTCTGTAGTCTATATAGTCTATAGGTATGTAGGCCTACTCTTGATAATATCAGGAGTAAGATAATATAGATCATATAATATAGTATCTATATAATATCTTACTCCTGATAATATCAAGAGTACAGGTAGATAATAACACGTGTTATTATCTACTCTTGATAATATGCATGGAGTGCCCCGGGCTGTCTCTCTTTTCCCTCTCTCTATATATACTTTGTCTGTCCCTCTCTATTTTCGTTTGTTTATTTTTTTTGTTTATTTTTTGTTTATTACTATTTATTGGAATATTTTCTACAAACGCCACTAAAATTTTACACGAGCAGAAGAAGTAGATGCGCTTGTTGAATTTATACTGTGCAAGGCCGTAGCTGCGTGCTAAAGTGGAGGTTGAAAGCTGAGCACCGGTTAGTGCTGCAACGTAGTGAGAAAATCTAGAACTACGAGTAGAAATGACATTCGCCATATTGCGCGGATAGAATACCCGCGGTGAGTCACTGAGTGGACCGAACATTGGAACAACAACAACCAGACAGTGCTGCGTGGTTTGGGTTCGTTTTTAGTGGTTTGTAGCATTGATGGCTTTGCTTTTTAATTATAGATTGTTTTAATCTGCGAAAAATTCTAAACGCAGTAAGTGTGTAGAACCGTTTCGTATTCATTATCGCTCGTAGTAGTAGTAGCGCCGTTTTTGAGTGCTTGCCGAGTAAATTTACCCGGTCCCTGTTTTGTTTCGTCATCGTATTTATTTTTACCATACCTTCAACCTTGACGTAAATATAACATATGGCATGTGCCACCGCGGTATTACTTGCAATAGCTAGGTCAGATACGTCAAAATTATACGTCAAAATTATCAGACGTCGTTAAGTTCACGATACTGCACCCTATTTTTTACGCTGTGGCTATATGCCCGGCAGCCGGGCACGGTCTTCGTTTTCCTAAATGCCCGGCAGTTCTTAACCCTAACTCTAACCCTAACCCTAAACCTAACAAAAACCCTAACTCTAGCCCTAAACCTAACCCTAACCCTAACCCTAATCCTAATGCGCATGCGCAATATCTCACCAGAGGAGTTATATTTTGTGATGAATATACATTTAAAATGGTTAGGGGATATCTCAGCATAGATTTTCCTGATAACCCTTTATCAGTAGACCTCTGTTTATAATTAGAAGAGCGCCCTAGCACGTAGGGTACAAAACACCTACTTTATGCCCTCGCGTCCTTCCTCTTGCCTCCCCTGTCCCTCGCTCAGCCTCCTTCTTCTTCTAGCGCCCCGGCTATCTTCCCTGCCGCCTTTCGTCAGTCTCCCACCTCTCTCCCGCTCAGCAAGCTATATTATGAAGTTTGCCTCAGACGGCACTGCACGCCTAACACGGTGCGCGCGCATGCGCAAAATCTCCCGAGAGAAATCGTAGTTTGCAAAAATTATGCATTTAAAAAGAAGAGGAGTTATCCTAGCATAGATTTACATGATACCATTCCATCAGTTGACATCATTTAAGAAATAGGAGAAAGACCTTGCATGTAAGGTCCCCACTGCGTATACCAGCCAGTACACAATCTGGCTACGTTGGTGTGTAATAGCGCATGCGCAATATCTCACTAGAGGAGTTATATTTTGTGATGAATATGCATTTAAAATGGTTAAGGCGTATCTCAGCATAGATTTCCCTAATAAACCTTTATCAGTAGACCTGTGTTTATAATTAAGAGAGCGCTCTAGCATGTAGGGTACTAAACATTTACTTTATACCCTCGCGTTCTTCCCCTTGCCTCCCCTGTCCCTCGCCCAGCCTCCAGCTATCTTCCCTGCCGCCTTCCCCCCCTCCTCCCTCGCGTCCTTCCCCTTGCCTCCCCTGTCCCTCGATCAGCCTCAACAATTATAACGCCGGTAACACTATAACGTGCTACTAATAACTTACCGAGTGCTGCACTGGCGCTTGTCTTGTTTTTCCTATTTAATGCTATATCTATGCCTATGGGTAATGCAATCGGCATATACCATGGTAACTTGTTTTAGCATTACTAAAACACGTAAACAAAAAGAACTATTTTCGGTCGCGGAAGGGTTATCGTCGGAGTGAGTTGACGAGGGCTGGATGCCACGGCGGGGGATGAGGTGGCCTAAAGCCACACTTGGATGTAGATATCTGTCGCCTGCGACGAAGGAGGTTGAGCGTGCGACAATGGAGACAAAGGAAAGGGCGGGCGGAGATAATTTGTAGGAGTTTTGCACCCTAAAAGCAAGGGCGCTCTCCTAATTACAAACCCAGGTCTACTGACAAGAATTTATTACAAAAACCTATGTTGAGATATCTCCGGACCATACTAAATGCATTTTAATCACAAAATCTAACTCTTCTGTTGAGATATTGCGCATGCGCTAAAACAGTAACGTATTCAGGTTATATACTGACTGGTATATGCAGCGGGGACCTTACATCAAGGTCTGTTTCCTATTTCTGAAGTGAGATCTACTGATGAAATTTTATTATAAAGATCTATGCTAGGATAACCCCTCTTCATTTTAATTTTCTAATGATTGCAAAATATTCTTCTTCTCTGGAGATATTGCGAATGCGCGAGCACCGTTTCAGACGTGCATTACGGCCAAAGGAAAAGTACGGACATATAGCTTGCTGAGGGAGAGAGGGGTGGGAAACTGAGGGAAGGTGGCAGGAAAGAAAGTCGAGGGCGGTGGGAGGAGAAGGAGGCTGAGCGTGCAACAATGGAAACAAAGGGAAGAGCGGGTGGGGATAAAGTAGGAGTTTTGCACCCTACAAGCTAGGGCGCACTCCTCTCTATTATTCACTTCTGATTTTATCATATATAAATCTATGCTAGGTGAACCCCTCTTCATTTTAAATTCACAATGATTGCATAATATTCTTTTTTTCGGGAGATATTACGCATGCGCGAGCACCGTTTCAGACGTGCAGTACGGCCAAAGGAAAAGTACGTAAATATAGCTTGCTGAGGGAGAGATGGGTGGGAAACAGAGGGAAGGTGGCAGCGAAGACAGTCGAGGGGCGGTGGGAGGAGAAGGAGGTTGAACGTGCGACAATGTAGACAAAGGGAAGGGCGGCCGGGTATAAAGTAGGAGTTTTGCACTCACGCACGTACGCACGAACGTCGCCGCTGACTCGTTATGGCATCGTAGCAGTTTCCCCCTCTCTCCCAGCTCTCTGTTTCTCTTTCTGTCTCGTGCGCGCTGTCGCTCCGGGGGGGGGGGGGGTACTCCTTCCAAAATAGCTTAGGTATATGTGCCACTAGAGAGATTGAATTGGGAGGGGGGCTCCGGTACTAACTCAGCACGTCAAAATGGGGGTCTCCGGAACGTGACAAATATTGTGCAACGTTCTCACAACGACGTCTGTAAGTGTAATGTACATTTCCTCAACCAGTTGATGTTATTGTGTGGTGGCATAGACCATGATGATTGTGTACCATCAACATTAGTAGTAGAACTGATTGAAATACTGCGATATTATTCATGTCCGGGTGGTAATTGTCTTAGGGGGTAATTGTCCGGGTGGTAGTTGTTCTAGGGGGGTAATTGTCCTAGAGGGTAGTTGTCCGGTTGGCAGTTAACCGGGCGGTAGTTGTCCTAGGGGTAATTGTCCGGGTGGTAGTTGTCCGGGGGGTAGTTGTCCAGGGGGTAGTTGTCCGGATACGTATAGTGCCCAATGAACAGCACCATCTGGTGGCGTACAGCACCCCTAACGTGTTAACGGGTATTGCGTTATGACACGTGACCACTATTAAATCACTACCGGTTCATTACCGGTACATTGTTAGGTTAGAGGATGTGGCGCGTCTTCGGCCGACCAATCAAAGGACTCGCAGCTCGGGCACTAAAGTTGACGCGATGTTTTGTGGTTGCATTATTTGGGCTGGCTATCGTGTGTGGCAATGACATTCACATGAAGATGGGTGAATGGTTACTGGTAATTTAAAACGAATTCTTTCAAGGTATGGCCCCACTGCGCTATTCGGCGCGATGTACTATTCGACTGCGCGACTGTTTTTCAGGCACAAATGTGGTGTCAGTTAGTAAATTCGCGATAATTTTTTCAAACGCTGGACAACATATGACATAACTCTCATAGTGCACACCTGAAGTGCATGGCTATCTAGCTTCATTAGTGCCACTCGGCCGAAAACGATCGAAATACAATTAGTTTTAGCTCCTGAAATTCATGCATGCACTGCAATGCACCGGCTGTCCACGGACGGCACTGCACGCCTAACACGATGAGCGCGCATGCGCAATATCTCGCGAGAGAAATCGTATTTTGCAAAGATTATGCATTTAAAATGAATAGGAGTTATCCTGGCATAGATTTATATGATAACATTAGATCTGTAGACATCATTTAAGAAAGGGAATAGGATAAACCTTATATATAAATAATAGGAAGACCTTGCATGTAAGGTCCCCGCTGCGTATACCAGCCAGTACACAATCTGGCTACGTTGGTGTGTAATAGCGCATGCGCAATATCTCACTAGAGGAGTTAGATTTTGTGATGAATATGCATTTAAAATGGTTAGGGTGTATCTCAGCATAGATTTCCTTAATAAACTTTTATCACTAGACCTGTGTTTAAAATTAGGAGAGCGCCCTAGCATGTAGGGTACAAAACACCTACTTTATGCCCTCGGGTCCTTCCCCTTGCCTCCTCTGTTCCTCGCTCAGCCTCCTTCTTCTTCTACCGCCCAGCTATCTTCCTTGCCGCCTTTCCTCAGTCTCCCATCCCCTCTCCCCCACAGCAAGCTATATTGTGAAGTTTACCTCAGACGGCACTGCACGCCTAACACGGTGCGCGCTCATGCACAATATCTTCCGAGAGAAATCGTATTTTGCAAAGATTATGCATTTAACATAAAGAGGACTTATCTAAGCATAGATTTATATGATACCATTCCATCAGTTGACATTATTTAAGAAATAGGAGAAAGACCTTGCATGTAAGGTCCCCGCTACGTATACCAGCCAGTACACAATCTGGCTACGTTAGTGTGTTAGCGCATGCGCAATATCTCACCAGAGGAGTTATATTTTGTGATGAATATACATTTAAAATGGTTAGGGGATATCTCAGCATAGATTTCCCAAATAAAATATTATCAGTAGACCTGTGTTTATAATTATGAAAGCGCCCTAGCATGTAGGGTACAGAACACCTACTTTATGCCCTCGCGTCCTTTCCCTTGTCTCCCATGTCCCTCGCTCAGCCTCCTTCTTCTTCTACCGCTCCAGCTATCTTCCTTGCCGCCTTTCCTCAGTCTCCCATCCC